ACTATGGAGAACAACTTGTCAGTAGTCAATAAAATTAAATTGGGCATGCTCAGTAATGCACAGCATGGAGACTACAGTTAATAATACTGCATTGCATATTTGAAAGTTGCTAAGAGAGTAGATCTTAAAAGTTCTCATCACAAGAAAAAAAATTTTTTATCTATGGTGATGAAAGTTAACTAGACTTGTTGTGATGATCATTTCACTATATATATATTGGGTTGTCGGAAAAGTCACGACGTATTTTGTCTATGTTTTTCAAAGGTCATTAATTTATATAAAGAACAAAGATCAATCAATGATATGTTGCCCATTTTGTTCGATAACCTTTTGTCATCTTTCAGTGAGCTTCATAATTCCTCGTTCATAGAAGGACCTGTCTTTATTTGTGAAAAGCTGAACAAGGTGTAGGTGCTGATTTACACTCTCATTTGAATTAAACGTTATACCACACAAGGAGTTTTGAAGAGAGTGAAACAAGTGGAAGTCTGATGGCGCAAGGTCAGGCGAGTATGGTGGGTGTGGCAACACATCCCATCCAAGCTCCAATAATTTTTGACAGGTGATCAGACTTGTGTGTGATCTCGCGTTGTCACAATGGAACACAACTCCTTTACAATTAACAAGCTCTGGATGTTCTGGATGATGGATTCGTTCAAACTGTCCAACTGCTGACAGTACACATTTGAATTGATTGTTTGGTTCCTTGGTAGGAGCTCGAAAAACATGACACCTTTAAAATCCCACCACACTGAGAGCATAACCTTCCTCTGATGAATGTCTGCTTTTGATGTCATTTGAGGTGAATCATCATGTCAGGACCAAGACCGTTTGGCACACCACATTGTTGTAAACAATCCACTTCTCATCACCTGTTATCAGTCGTTTAAAAAAAGGGTCATTTTCCTCACGTTTAATGAGCATATTGCAGATGTTTATACACGCCATCAAATGAACTTCTTTGAGTTCATGCGGAACCCAAATATCCAGCTTGCTTACGTATCCCAGCTTTTTCAGGTGGTTGTGAATGCTTGAATGAGGGATGTTCAATGTTCCTGCAATCTCTTGTGTCGTGTAACATGGGTTTGACTCGATCAATACCTTTATTTTGTCGTCATCAACCTCGGTGGGCCTCCCTGACTGAGGAGCGTCATTGAGATCAAAATCACCAGCACGGAAATTTGTGAACGATCATTGACACTGATGTTCTTGTAGAGCATTGTCACCATAAACTTTATGCAACTTTTCACAAGCTTGACGCAAGTTCTTCCCTTTATGGAAGTAAAACAGTAAAACATGGCAAAAATGCACAGCTTGGTCTTCCATCTTCAATTTATTGTAAAATCTCCAAAACATGGGCCGGCTGAGTGGCGCATTGGTTAAGAGCTGGCTTGGGATGCCAGAGGACCCTGGTTCAGATCCCACATATGAGGGACAGTGACACTGCCCTCTACAGCTAAGATGCTGAACAACAGCTCA